CAGCATGGGATCAAGAGACACTTCACAGTCCGCAAGACACCATAACAAAATGGTGTAGCGGAAAGGATGAACAGAACGATAGCCGAGAAAGCTCGGTGTCTCAGGTTGAATGCAGGGCTTGCAAAGAATTTCTGGGCAGAGGCAGTGAATATGGCATGTTTCTTGATTAACAGATCACCGAGGGCAGCACTAGATGGGAAAGTATCAGAGGAGGTGTGGACAGGCAGTGAGGTAGACTACTCTGGTTTGAGAGTGTTTGGATGTCCAGCCTATGTACATGTTTCTAGTGAGGAGAGGTCGAAGCTTGATGCGAAGTCTAGACAGTGTATCTTTCTGGGATATCAGAAAGGAGTGAAAGGCTTCAAGCTCTGGGATCCGAAGGCAAACAAGATGGTGATCAGTAGAGATGTGGTTTTTGATGAAAAAGCCATGTTGCAGCGTACTCAGGAAGAAGAGAAACAAGTACCAGAAAACTGTAGCACTAATGACTATGTGGTGTAGGTGGAGCTAGATAATCATGGTAGAGAAGAGGATGCTCAGCATGTAGAGTGTTCTATCTCAGGTGATCAACAGCATCATAGTATAGCCACAGACAGGCCCAAACGCAATATCAAGCCACCTACCAGGTATGGTTTTGAAGATTTGGTTTCTTATGCGCTTATTACTAGTAGCGGGGATCCTACAACTTTTCAGGAGGCAGTACAAAGCCAAGAGAAAAGTAGATGGATGGGTGCTATGGTGGAGGAGATGGAGTCTCTGCATAAGAACCAGACGTGGGAGTTGGTGGAACTTCCCGAGGGGAAGAGAGCAATAGGGTGCAAATGGGTGTATAAGAAGAAAGAAGCAGTATCAGAAAATGAGGGAGAAAAATTCAAGGCTCGTCTAGTAGCAAAGGGTTACTCACAGAGAAAAGGGGTTGACTATGATGAGATCTTCTCCCCCGTGGTCAGACACACTTCCATCAGGACAGTGTTGGCACTAGTAGCACATTCAGATATGCAGTTGGAGCAGATGGATGTAAAGACAGCTTTCCTTCATGGCGACTTGGAGGAACGGATTTACATGGTACAGCCAGAAGGGTTCAGTCTCCCTGGAGAGGAACATTTGGTCTGTAATTTGAAGAAATCACTTTATGGGCTGAAGCAGTCTCCGAGGCAGTGGTACAAACGATTTGACTCTTACATGATCCGAATTGGCTACAAAAGGTGTGAGTATGATTGCTGTGTCTATGTAAAAAGGCTTGATGATGATTCATTTATTTTTCTGTTACTTTATGTGGATGATATGTTGATTGCTGCCAAGAGTATGAGTGAGGTCAACAAGTTGAAGACTTTGTTGAGTAGAGAATTTGACATGAAGGATTTGGGTGCGGCCAAGAAGATTCTTGGGATGGAGATTCGCAGGGACAGAGCTTCCAGGAGATTATGGCTATCTCAGCATAGCTATGTTGAGAAGGTGTTGGACAGGTTCAGCATGAGTTATGCAAAATCAGTAAGTACACCTTTGGCGAATCATTTCAGATTGTCTACCGCTCAGTGCCCGAAGACAGATGATGAAGTTCATGACATGTCAAAGGTCCCATATGCTAGTGCAGTGGGGTGTTTGATGTATGCTATCGTTTGTACAAGACCAGATTTGGCACAAGCTGTCAGCGTGGTTAGCAAGTTTCTTTCAAATCCGGGTCGACAGCATTGGGCTGCAGTCAAGTGGATTTTCAGATACTTGAGGGGCACTACAGACTATGGCATCAGGTTTAGCAGACAACAGAGTGACCCTTCAGTTATGGGATATGTGGATGCAGACTATGCAGGAGACTTGGATGACAGGAGGTCTACCACAGGTTATGTGTTTACTCTTGTGGGAGGACCTATTTGTTGGAAGTCCATGGTACAGCCTATAATTGCACTATCTACTACTGAGTCAGAGTATATGGCAGTAGCTGAGGCTGCCAAAGAGGCTTTGTGGCTTACAGGTTTAGTCAAGGAGCTGGGTGCCCAGCAAGGTGGAGTTCAATTGCATTGTGACAGTCAGAGTGCCATTTATTTGGCAAAGAACCAGGTGTATCATGCGAGGACCAAACATATAGATGTGAGGTTTCATAAGATCAGGGAACTGGTTTCTTCTGGTGAACTATTACTTGAGAAAGTTCACACTTCTGAGAATGCTGCAGACATGTTGACAAAGCCTGTTACTACAGACAAGTTCAAGCACTGCTTGGACTTGATTAATGTCTCTGGTTGCTAGATGGGAGATGCCTCAACTCAGCGTCCCCGGTGGAGTTCCCGAATACATGTCCTCTTTTTTCTTCTAAGGGGTGAATATTTGCCAAGGTGGAGATTGTTAGAGTATGTGTGACTCATATTTGTTGTGTGCATAGTGGCAAGGAGGCAGATGCCGGAGCGGGCGGAGCGTAGCGGAGTAGAGCGAAGCGGAGCCCGCGACGTCATCTGCCTTGCGGGATTTATATAAAGGGGACGCTGATTAGTTTGGGGTGCGGGGGCAACGCCTCCGCGATATGGTACAGGGGTATTTTTGTAAATACGTCCATATTAGGGTTATATAAATACTTAAGATATAACCCTATTTCAATTAATGAAAGGAACGACCGCTCGCTCTCGTGGATGTAGGCACATTGCCGAACCACGTAAATCTCTGTGTGTTATTTTTTCCTGCTTTCTTAATTGTTTGATTCTTTACTATTCACCATAATTGCTGCACGATCACAACACAAAGTAACTCAGAAACAGAAATATCAAATGTGTAATTAGAAATAATAAAAAATAGTAAAATAACAAAGAGCTAGCATACATTAATTAATAGACCCAAAGACATATAATGTTTCAATTTACAGATTAGAAGTGAAATGGTAATAGAATATTTTGTGGGATTCTTGGTGGAAAAGAGGTCCCATGGTGAAGACTTTCACGTAGGAAGCCTTGGAGATAGATTTAAGGATATGGAAAGGATTGAAAGAAAAGAAAGTACAGTGGGTCATAAAAGTAGGTGGAATTCTTGGAAGCAATTCTTACTTTACTTCCAGAAGAAGACTTGGGCACGTTTGTTAAGAGAGTTTGGGCGGGTCTAGGATAACGGGTTGGGGAGTAAACCAATTATCACCCATGTTTGGTACATATATATGTAATCCTGGGTTTAAAACCCAGCCCGCTAAGGACCCGCAATTGAAACCCATGCTCGTGGGTTTGAGGATACCTGGTGGGGGGTGGGGGTTTGAAAGGTGGGTTAATGGGTTTAAGATAGTAAATGACATTTATATCCCAATTTATTCCATATACCCCATATTACTCCCATTCATCCAAGTCCTTTTAACTTGTCGGGTTAATGTTTTTTTGCCCTTTATTATGGTTATAAGCAATACTAATTTTTTTTTTTCAATATTCATGGTTTTTTTCATAAGTTAGGAAAAAAAAATTAATTATATATTTAACCCATAAGGACACAAGTAAATGTACGTAACCAAACATGAGTTTGGATTCAATTGGTTAATGGGCAAAATTGTCAAATATATACAAATATCTTATCATAATACTATTATACCCTGTGCATACCAAACATGAGTATGGATAGTATTAACTTCCTCAAACCCATTTTTAAATCTCATATTTGGTCAATCCCGAATTTAGACAATTCAATCCAAACTTTTTTCAAAAAACATACCAAACAAGTCTTTGAAGTCTTTGCTAGTATTAGGGTCCACCAATTGATGGTGGTTGGAATGATTATCAACACTTTGTGATGTATGAGATTCTTGGGTTGGAATTACCGTACGCCTGCAGAGGGAAAGTATTTTTAAGTGGAAAATTAGACCCACCATCTGAAGACAAAATAACATTATTATGTTAATGATGGAAAAGATTAACAAATTTTAATAAAACAACAAGTTTCACGGAAAATACAACAGAATTCAATTTGTAAAAGCCCTAATTTCATGTTAATGTTTATTCACGATATATATATATATATATATATATATATATATATATATATATATATATATATATATATATTTTTTTTTTTTTTTTTTGTAAAAAGCAATAAATTTCACACATGCCTTAGTTTTATATGCTCTAATCCAAAAACCCTAATAAGTATGAAACCGTGACAAACCTCAACTCCCGTGTGTGACAAACAACGAAGGAGGGCTGCTCGTTTTTTTTGGGTGGGCTTTGAGGCATTTTATATATATATATAAACTAACAATAACTTGTGTTTAAAAATACTATATAACATAAAAATAATCATTCAAATAAGCACAGGGAGAAATAACTTGGACAATTTGTGTGTTTAAAGAATTGAAATTATAATCCTTAGAATTCCTTAATTTTAACTTAAACTCACTGCATCTTAGATCATGCTTGGTCATCAAAACACTCCCACAATAACAATGCCTCAGCTGTAACATATACACAAACTTATTGAGTTGTTGGCTTTTTTGTTGGAAAGTGATGGAGAGGACCTGTTTGGTCCCCAAATTTGGGATTTCCAAACGACATTTTAAAGCAATAAGGACCATTGGATAACTGGATCTCATTAAAAAAAGTTAATGAGATCCACTTATCCAATGATCCCAGTTTATTTGGGATCTAAATTTGAGTTGCATACCATTTTTATTGATTAATGAGTGGGGTGAGAATAATATTTTGGTGAGGACAAAATTTTACCACATTTGTAGTTCTTTTTACCAGTGTTGTGACGCTCTAAAAAATAATAAAAATAATTATTACAACAATGATAAAAACTTTTACAAATGTAAAAAAAAAAAATCACAAATATAGTACCGAAAAAAAGTAAAAGTATTTACCTCTTTCCACATAGCATCTTCATAGAATGTGTGCCGTAGCTTCTGAAAGTCGAAAAAGTTGGGATCTAAAAGTTGGAAATTTCATAGCATCTTCTTGATGGAAACCTCATCTCCTCTGGCACCGTCATTCTAATTTCAATACCATTTTGTGATTTTCTGTTCAGATTATTCCCAAGGAAAAATGGAAAGCAACCCAGTGGCTATTGCTAAATCCACCACTGCTGATTCCTCATCGCCTTCGCCGGTTGAGATTTTCGATGGAAATTCCTCCCCGCAGGTTGGTTTTTCTACTCTCTCTCTCTCTTTCTCAATCGACTCTCCTTCCATTTTCTCCACTTAAACTTGGTTTTCCTTATTTGCTAGAAAATAGAAAACACACCCGTGACTATTGCTGCAGCCACCAATGGTGCGTCCTTATCCCCGGTTGAAAGGGCTCGCCAAATCCGAATCACACCTGAGGAGTGTGCGGTGAGCAATAATTATAAAATTTTTAAATTATATATAATACCTAAAAATTCATTATCGCTTCTTTTGTTTTTTGGTAGATAGTAATAACTCTGATTTAGACTTTTTTTTAAAAGTATTTCTCTAAGATTGCTTCAAATAATTAATAAAAAGAATAAGCAAGGAACAATTGTTGTTATTTTCTTTTAAAGTATTTCTCTATGATTTAGACTTTCTTTTAAATTATGTTGTTATTTTGTACTTCCTTGCATTTTCATATTTATTTCTTGTTTGCTTCCTCCTGATCTATTCCCCCTCCCTTTCTCCATCCTCCTCTTTTGGTTGATCTTCCAGTCCGAAACATCTTGTGGGTGATCTGTTGTGATTAGTCAAGAAATAAGGCATGTGCTGCATTTGGTTCCAGCTGCAGCAGCAGATTTTGGGGTTCATGGTTACAAAGTTGAAAATAAATGGCCTCAAATATATACCTCTCTCTTGATTCCATCGGGATGAAGAGGTTATCAAATATGTTTTTTATTTTTATTTTTATAATTTGATAAATATAAATAATTATCAAACATGTTTTTTGTTTTCAAATTTTACCACAGAAAAAATAAAAATTGTTTATATCTTTTATTTTTTTAAAAAACACGAAAATAAAAACATTACCAAATGCATCCTTAATGTTTATTGATTCTCTATTTTCAATGAACATAATACATTAATCTCCTCTCTTTCTCTCTCTCTCTCCCTCCGCATTATATTTTCTCCCCCCTCTAAGATTTTTAAAAGTGCGTGTGTATATAGCTTATTTCATATATTGTATTAAAACTGTTCAAAAAAAAAAAATTTATTGTATTAGAAGGCTTAATGACCTAACTATAGGACGTAGATAATATCATGTTAAAGTTGATTTTGGATAAATTTCATATAAGTATAAATTTAACAATGACAATGACTTGTTGAATAACATTCCTAATTTTGTCATTATTGGCCCTCCTATAAAATCTTGACTCAATTCCAAAATATACATGATGATAAAAGACAAAGTTTATTAGGGTTTTTTGCATTTTACACCCCACAAAAATCTCTTGATTCTCACTTCATACACTGAAAGATTATTTTTTTCATATTACACCTCGAATGTCATAAATTGATTCTAATGTGGCTTTCGAACTAACATCCGTTTCAAATTCTGTTAAAAATTAATGCACTTGCCACCTGTATGTGATGTTCTTGGATAAAAATGTAAACTAGTCATCCATATCCCTGGGTGGCATGTACATTAATTTTTAACGAAATTTGAATCGGATGTTAGTCCGAGGGCCATATTGGAACCAATTTATGACATTCAGGGTGTAATGTGGAAAAAATAATTTTTTGGGATACAAAGTGGGAATCAAGACATCTTTCGGAAAGAAAAATGGAAAAATCTCATTTTAATAAGACACAAACTCTAATTTTCACTAAAAGAAATTGCATTAATATTTCTTTCTGTATCTCTAGTTTGAGCCTCAGGGCGGAGTATCACCTTCATTTACAAGGTCTAATGGGGGATGGATTCGTGATACAGTGGAGTTCAGTGTAAGTTGGTTGATTTCTACCTAGCTAGATGTTGAATTCCAAGACTTACATTACTATCTCCACCTACATTAACAGTCAGATTTTTTTGTAACATCTGTAACGGTCATTCCAATAGTCATACATAACATGTTCGTAGTAGACAGATCTAGGTTGTAATAATTGGTCGAGAACTACCTAATATACAATTGATTTATCTACCTAAGAGGCTATTTGATTTTGAGTTATATATTATAACAGGTATTAGAGATCGGTGTTGCCATGGGGCCGATTTGCAATGTGGGCAGCGGTCCACACTGCAATTTTAACAACTTTTGGGGCCTAGGTAGAATTTTGAAAAGTTTCAGAAGTGTTTAAAGATTGCCCCATTGAAAATTTATAAAACATATAGGGTTATTTCCACAATTTAGAAAATAAATGGAGTCCTTAACAAATGTATGTAGACAAAATGTAGTTGTTTTATCCTCAAACCATTGTTGCCTATTAAATGTTTGTTAAAATGCCACAAACAAAGCCATGACAAAATGAGCAAGTAA